TGGCTGTTGGGGATTCAGGCAATACCTGAAGCTGTGGAGGAAAAGTTTCCAGGATACCTGCCAGTCTCAAAAAAAGCTGTCAAAGGAAGCTGGATACCTAAAACTGTAAAAAGATAGGAATACTGACTGTTAGAATGTTAGGCTAGTCCTCAATGTTTGTCTCAGTGTGGGATGGTTTACTTGAAGGATGTGGCAAACCTGGTCCTCTCCAAAAAAGAGCTAATACAGCTTTCTGTGCTACACTCAGCTAAGAGAGATTTAGAGTAGAGATGTCCTTTTGCTACTCTGCTCCACTCCCCTAAGAAAATTTCCAAGCAGAGATGTCCATTATTACGCTGTTCTACCCCACTAGCGAGTTTCCCAGGAGAGATATCAATTGCTTCTCTAATTGATTCCACTAGGAAGATTCCCAGCAGAGATTCTGCCCTGCTCCCACAAAAGATCATCACCCAAATCTAACTCAAGAGATTTATATAGGGGAGAGAAATCCAGAATAGTGCCTGCCTGTGTCAGTGTGAAAAGGGGCAGCTGACAGCTGAACAGACACAGGGCTTCTACAGGGCTTCATAGTGGTGGAGATTTCCAGGGAAAAGATTTTGAGGATAGGTATTGGTTGGATTTCAGGCTCAAGCTCAGAGATTTGGATGTTTTCATGTGTAGTAATTGCTTTGTGCTCAGGGATTGGTTGGTTTCCTCCTCAGTTGGTCAAAGGTAGAATGTATTCCTTTGGCTCTGGTTTCAGTGCCAAATTGCATGTTTTTCAATGTCTCTGGTTTTAGTTTCCAGGTGTGTTTCTTTGGCTGACCTTTTATCCTTCACAGAGGACTTTATAAACTACTAAATTCATTTATTCCATGGTTTTACAGGGGCAAACATTGTAGAAATGGACATCATGATGCATGAACAGATTGCAGACACTGTCAATTTTTTTTTTTTTTTTACAGAATGAACACCATTGTGTACAAATGCAAATATTTTGGATAAGGATCTTGCCAAATATATTATAATAATAAGCCCTCAGTACTTTTTGCAGGTACTAAAAGACTATTGTAATATGCAAAGGCTTTAAGAGACTGACTTCACAGAAAAAAGTTTTTTTCATGTATA